TCTGTCTGTCTGGCAAGCGCAAGCGCTCTATAGCAAAAAAAAATTCTCAAAAAAAAAAAAAGGGTAAAGAGAAATTAGTGAATTATTATTTTTTTAGGTTCTTAGTGAATTATTATTCTTTTTAGGTTCTTATTATTTTTTAGTGAATTACTATTTTTTAGGTCATAGGGCGTGTGTACTCACTGGAGAGAGACAGTGGAGGGAAAGTGAGAAATCACCCCCTATCCGGGATGGCTACACCATAGTCCCTTCTCCTCCATTATCCTCCTAAAATTTTGGGCATACAGACACCCATGCCTCACATGAATTTCAAGTTACCAGGTCTGGGACGCCAGCTGTGGGAGGCCATGGGGGAGTTGAGCACCTTAACCACCACACCACCTTGTGGCCCTAAGTGAATTAATTTTAATAATGTGTATTATGTAACCCAACATGTTAAAATGTTATCACTTTTTTAAACATTTATTTATTTATTTATCTATTTATCTGTTGTGGTTTTCAAGCCACCATGTCTGGGACTTAAAATATAGTTGGCCATGTGTGAATCTGACACCTTAACCACCATGTCACCTGGTGGCCCCAAAATGTTATCATTTCAGCATGGAACCATAAAAATTATGAATGAGATTGGGACCAGCAGTTGGCGTAATGGCTGTGTCGCTGGACTCCCATGTAGTCGACTGCGGTTCGCGTCCCAGACCCAGTGGCTTAAACTCACGCCGGGCGTGTGTGTGTGCGTGCCCAAGATCCCGAGAGGAGAATGGAGGAGAAGGGATTGTGGCGTGACCATCCCCGGGGGGGAGGGGGTGGTTTCTCGCTTTCTGTCTCTCTATCTCTCTCTGTATGGCGAGCGCACGCACCCTATAGCAAAAACCTCTTCAAAAAAAAAAAATTATGAATGAGATTGTGTGTGTGTGTTTAGGCAGAGTCTCTCTATGTTGAGATCCTCCTGCCCCAGCCTCCCGAGTAGCTGGAACCACAGGTGTGTGCCATTGCACCCAGCTTTTAGGGTAGGCTGGGAATTGAACCCAGGCCTCCCATGTGGTCTCAGCTTGCCAAGCAGCAGCTTCCAGCATGTGCCACCGCCGTAGCCAAGCCATTGAGATAGTTTACATTCTGTTTTCCAAACTTTAAAGCCTCTCTCAGCATGGCCCAGCCACAACCCACGTGTTTGACGGCCGCACGTGGCTGGGGGCTGCTGTGTAGTTAACTCTGGAGGCCCGATGAGCTTGAGGTGTTTTCGCCTGTCTGGGTTCTTGGTCAGAACATCTCGTGGGTCGTACCCACAGTTTCTTTCTTTCTTTCTTTTAAACTTTTTAGAAAAGTATTATTTATTTGTTTATTTATTTAAATTTGACCAGAGAGGGGAAGAGTGAAAG